ATATTTTTTAATTTGGATAATTTATACTTTTGATAAAAAGAAAAAAAATTGTGCAAAAAAAGTTTATATTTGACAATTGTGAAAATCAAGGTCAAAATAATTTATTATATTGTGAAATGTTTTAAAAACATTAATATACATTGAAATTATCAAAAAATATTAGGAATACATGTATAAAACGAGATAAATTGGAATGAATTACGTTTTTGCCTTTGAAAAACTAAATTTGTGTATTTTAGTATTGATCATTCACTACTGTACACAAATGTTACTATGTTTTTAAACCAAACCATTAAACGAATATTCACAAAAGACACAAAATATGATGAAATACATGCCAGTAATTTAATTTCCTTTCAAAACCTTAAACTTTGAATTTGCATGTTGTGTTATTACTTATTTGGACTCTTAAACTCAAGAAATTGTCTTTGTAGCAAGCACCTTGTCTGTTGTAAATCTGCTATATGTATTATGCACTTGTCATCGGACCCCTCCCACCACCCACACACCCACCCCGGGAAAACATGGGTGAGTGGGAGGTGAGAGGTGTAGTTTGAGGACAAGATTAAGCATGATTACATGTGGATTATGGGTAGCCTATTGTCGAATGGACGACTGATGTTTTTGCACAAGAAGCCATGTTAGTGTTATATGTTTAAAGTTATTCATCATTCTACTTTAAATATTCCATGTTTGAAACTTTTACTAAATGTGTTATTCTAGAAGTGGCTTTGGCTTGTTTTGCTTGCCCCTATGTGTGGGGCTTTTTTTTTCATTAGTTTCTAAAAAAGTCTATTTATGCCCATGTTTCCCCTGGTGTGGAGGGGTGTGCGTTTCCGATGACAAGTGTATTAGGCACTGTTTCAAAGCTAATTTTACTGAGTGCAATAGTCCAAATAAGCAATAACTCACCATGTGCAATAGTCCAAACAAAGCAATAACTCACATATACAAACAAAATGTTTAATAATTACAATAATATTTAATTACTGTTATGGGATCAGTTATCTAGTAGCATTTTAATATAATGAGGGATATGCTTTGATACCATTTTCTTCGGTAACAAAAATAATTGCTATTTCTTGGCAGCTTGAGTGCAATCAGAGAAAGCAGTATCTAACACAACTCACATTATGTTTGAAGAGGTGCACATGTATGTTTACATTTAACAATACTATAAGTTTTATATACCCTAAGAAGGGTTAAGTCAATGTGGAATATACAATAAAATAATCAAACTCAGAACATCAAAATGTATAGAATATTTGACAGTATTTTTCAAATTGGACAGCTTAAGCATTCCACAAAACAATGTTGATCAACAATCCATTGTCATTGCCTTTTACCCAGATAGTCAAAGAGCAGATTTGTAGTTCTTTTAACATGGAAAGTCTATCATTCAACTAAAAAGAGAATAATTTGATTATTTATTGGGTGTATTTTACAGACATACAATTGGATGAAACACAGCTGCACACACAGAGACAACCAGTGTGTGGTTGTATTTATTATAAGGAGGGACCGTCAATGGTCAAACAAATAATGTCTATATACAAAATAATGCTTACTGACTATAAATGCAAGTCATTGGTTTAGTACACTACCTGGACAACTGATATTGTTATTTATTTAAGCATCGGAATGTGTTTATATTGGTACCTAACTCATTAATTCAATAAATTCAAATCCCCAATATTTCAGTTAACAGTATAGTGTTTGGTCTCAAAGATATATTTCAGGTCTAAATGCTTTTACTATCTTTGTGTATAAGGAAACATTTTGGTACTAGCCTAACAAAATAATATTTCTATATATTTGAATATTGTTTGTATTAGTATATTGTTTGTAATCTGTACAGTAAATAAAAACTCTGGTTGTACGCATCCCAAACATGTTTTTAGTGTCAGTTAGCAATAGTCCTATATGCATCTGTTGTCTAAGGTACGAAATTTCACAAAACACTATCGAAAAATGATCAAGAAATGAAAAGAATCTCACCTGACTTGTTGACAGTATAAGATCTCACTCCTTCGGAGGTCGTTTATCCAAATTTTCGTTCGTTTTAAACATATTCGTGTAATAATTTTCCGTTTAACAGACGCAGCTTGACATGTTCTTTCAAATTTTGTCCTCAAAATAAAGATCGGACGGTAGATGTTTTTAAAATCGCTGTTTTATTGCGAAAATTCGGCATTTCGCCATACAATTCAATACAAAAATTTTGTTCGCCGCTTACCAGACGAAACGCGTGGAAACCGCGTGGGCTTTCGAAACGGGGGACACCGAGAACAAAGGAATTTTCCGCGAGTCGGCCATCTTTATATACTTAATCTTTGCCCATGCCCGCGATATTTGATAAACTTTAGACTCCGCTAATGCAGCCGTTCCGCACGTTGTAACCAATAATTTATTGGCGTTGTAATGCCATTGTATGCAATAAAGTATTCGTTACAATGGATTTACAATTAATCCAAACGCCCTATCGCCTACCCTCCATCCACCAGGCAAAGCCAATTACACTTATACCTAAAACTTTTGTGTAGTGGTTGCGGTTTTGTTTTCAGTTACAACCCAATACTTTATTGCATACAATGGCATTACAACGCCAATAAACTATTGGTTACAACGTGCGGAACGAGTCGCTAATGCTTTCGTTTCCCCGGGTATAAATAGCCGGGGGGAATTAGTACCCTCGCATGGTGCTTCGCGTCGTCGGCTCGGGGATAAACACTGCACGTAAGCTTTTTGTCTTGCAATCATTTACCTTCGGTTCGAGATTGTATATCAGATAAAGATCGGATGCGAATATTTTATCTAATACTTAATGTAGTTTGCTGTATTACCGTAACACTTTTATATATAGTACACACAAAGACGAGTCTGATTCGTAGGCTGGCTTTGAACACCGATATGGCTAGTTGACGGTTCAGGTTAAGTTGACGGCTGCTCACCTCTCACAAAAGTACGAGGACGGTTTCCACTATTATCTCTACCCCTTTCGGAGATAATTTCCTCCACTACTCTGCGTATTTCAGATCTTCCATCCATGGATTTCCCTGCTGGCAGAGGACTCTATTTGTCTGCCGCAGGGAATCCATGGATTAAAACGGTAAATTTATACAATCGCCCACGAAGGGAAAACATCACAAGAACAGCCCAGGTAACCATTTCCTGGTTCAAAGTCAGCATATACGAGTCAGACTCGTAGTTGTATGTACTATGTTATAAAAGTATTACTGTAATATAGCAAACTACATTACTCATTGCAAGTCAAAAAGCGTAGGCTACGTGCAGTGTTGTACATATAAGTATCTACTTTTATATTTACAAATGAAAAGTATGATTAAAATGCTTCTATAAAACCGAAAAAGAAACTGAAATGCAACATGTCGCTTTAAAAATATTTAGTCGCAAGATGTTCGCCGTTACTAAAGCAATCGGCAAATCTACGGGAACTGCCAGTGGTAGATGTTATTTTTTTGGCGGTATACCGCTGGTCAAAAGCTATTGAATATTTTTTGCTGTTTGTTTTATTGAATACTTTTTTCGCCGCATTGAATATTTTACGGTGTAATTTGCTGAATATTTCAGAAGTTTTTTTAAAATTTCGGTAATTATTGAATATAAAACGTTTGTTGAATATTTTAAGAGTGTATTGAATATAAATTGTGCGTATTGAATTTTGCTACAATCTGACAACCATAGATGTGTATTAAAAACCTTTGATGCACATCAATATTTGAATTTTTGAAATCTTGCCATTCGCCTCACATCAAGCGAGGATACCGTATTAATGGTTTGCAATCAATCCCTTAAGATTGACAAGAGCTTCCATGCTGGAGGACAACACAGTCCAAATACAATAGCTGCTAATGATATATTCTTTCGTTGTCGTTCCTCCAACATGGCCGCTATGACGTCAAGTGCAAACCAAGAATAATGAATTTTTGAGACTAAAGCGGATTTGTAGTAAGAAAAATAAGTAGGAGAAAACATTGGGAGAGCTTAAAAGCCTTTTAGTTCAACGAGGATATGACGGTGATTTTTTAGATGAGCAATTTAGCAGGGTGTTAGCAGGGATTTAGGATTTAGCTCTATCAGTCTTTGTCTGACATAAGCAGGCATTGGCAGTCACCTTATTCTATATTTGTTTCATATATCATTTGTATTCGCATTTGTTGTAGTTTATGGTATATTGGTATTAATATATTCTGTAATGTAATTTACATTTTTTGTCGATCCTTTGTTTTGACTAAATCCGTCTGTGTGTGTTGTGATGTTATGTACTCAGGTGAATATATTGTTCTTGATGTTACTCTGAGTGTATATCCACACCAGGGAGGCTGAAAATTTAGCCTGACCACGGTGAGAATCGAACCCGCGAACTTTGGGATACACTATACACTGCTATTACTTATTAATAATTTACATAAAAATGTTCGAGACAATTGTAGTTTTAACTTACGCGTTTATAGCGAACATTCCACCGGCAAACTTTTCCTAGCTTTGTTATATCACATTATTGAAAATTCCACTCAACTATGTAATTTTTGTTAGTCTTGTTTAAGGTCAGTGCTTTTCCATTTAAAAATAAAGATAAAAGCCATATTTTTCACGCGAATGCAACTTTTACTTTACTGTAGCGCGGGGCCATGTTTGTTTTGTTTTGAAGCATTCTGTGACTGTTACTTCTTTAAACTAAATTGCTTAAAACTGATTGGTTGATTTAATCATCACAATGTTTTTCCACCAATCAGATCAGTTTGTTACAGATTTTTGCACTGTGATTACAGAAAATTGCACTATGATTAGAAAAAATTGCACTGTGCATGATTACAGAAAATTGCACTGCTGTTTGGGATTAACTGCACTGAAATCAACCAATCACAGTCGAGTAATATCTTTGTGTATATTATTATGCTCTGTAACACCATGCAGCCGAAAGCGGAAATTTCGAACAAATTCACGTTACGAGCACGTCAAGCAGGTGAATAATGGCCTACCTGCTATAATATATTCTCAACTGTTAAATGCATTCAGCATGCTGAAAACGAGGGTCTGTTACGGTTTGAGTGTGCAATAGGGATTTTGTGTAAATGATACTGGTAAGCATCCAGGTTTCTATACGGTAATTGTCATTGTCGGCGATAAAAACCTTGGCCCATGCATGGTCCTGAAATTGCGGACATTCCAAATGTCCTGGAAATTGATAGAGGTTTTTAAAAATCCTTGACAGTTGAACTGTGTTGATAATATAAATAACAGTAAAACGTAGAGTACAATTCAGTGGCCGGTTGTTCAAAGGTTGATTAGTGGTAACCCTCGGTTAAAATTTAACCTGCTGTTTTAGTTTCTGTATTTCTGATTATTTTAAGACTTCGGAGAAGTAATCCAGATCCAGACAAGATTTCGGAAGAATCATTTGCAAATTTGTAAACAAGCTGCCAGCAAGTTTGCTTTGAATTTTAGGTTAACCTACGGTTTAGCTGATCGGCTTTCGAACGACCAGCCTCGGGTATTTTTTTACTAATATTTTTCCAGTGAAAAACTCCTGAAATTTCACCTTCACTGGTGGGAATTCTGTATCAACATTTCGTGTATGGCTAGTGATGTACCAGTCGGCAATCTACGTATTTAATAAAAACAAAACTTAATTTATTCAAATTAATAAAACTACATTCGAAGCAATTTTCTTCGACATCACTCTTATCAAATTGGTTAATCCAAATCATAGGAATCGATAAAAGTAATCGTCAACAATACTTATGATATTATTTCATGTAAAAATAGAATTTAGTTTCAATTTCTTCTTCTGCAATTCATGTGTTCATTGTGTCGTAAAATCTTCCCGGCAAAGATTTTGTACGTATGATCAGTTAGTTCTTCGCGGGGAAAACAATGAGATAAAATTCTGTATCCAATGGCTATGCCATTCCTTCAAAAGTATCTTTCATATTTTCCCACGTTGACACGCCCTGGAAATAAACAACAACAGCTGTCTAATCTCGAAAAAAATTTTCTACTTGATATATCCCGCTATGTCAATGCCAATGTCAGTGTGTTTGGCAAGTTGGAAAAAGGGACGGACTGCGGCTCTTGGGCCTCGGTCAGGAAAAAAAATCAGGCCAATGTGCGAGTATAATGACGAGTTATATGTGGTAATGATATACGAGTTATAAGTGACAATGATGAGTTACAAGTCGTAATAATGAGTTATAAGTCGCCACGACGAGTCATAACTTGTAATGATCAGTTGTAAATCGTATTGATGAGTTATAAGTCGCAATGACAAGCAGTAGCGTAGTCAGCCCGGCGATTTAGTCTCGCTATGCAAATATATTCGTGTTCATTGACTGTGAAAACAATCAAGGGGCGAGGGTACTAATTCCGCATGGCTATTTACACACGGGGAAAGGAAAGCATTAGCGAAGTCTAAAGTTCATCAATAATCGCGGGCGCATGGTGTATGAGTGGTCATCTCACTGATCTCAAAATATGGCTGTCTGCCAGGAGTGAAGGCAAAAATATAAACTAGAAATACATGCATGCAGCAACCCCTCGCCCGTATTTTCCAAACATTGATTTAACATGAAGTATTACCAATTGATCAACATTGAACGCAGGCTCGCGTTATTATATTTTTTTACAAAACGCCAAAAATAGTTGAAAGATTATTGCTTTTAACTATATAACAATGAATTTCCGAGATAAATGTAAAATTTAAGCTGAATCGCTTCGTAAAATGTTTTGAAATGTTCCTTTTAATAACTTTAAACTACTTTTTCCGATAAACTGTTTATACTTGATAAAATAAAATAAGTCCAAATTGTTGAGTAATTTCAGTTCGGTTTTCAAATGAATTTGCTCTCCTTTACATTTTACCCTTTTTTCTTAAATTAAACAGGCCTGGGTAATTTAGCAAACTTTAATACAGCTTCATTGAAAAGGAAAGCAGTGCATGTTTTACGCAATAAATTAAAGCAACAAAATTCATAAACATTAAACATTCAAAGCAAACCTATATTTCACGATTCCCACAGTAAATCAATTCTTCTCATTTCTTCAAACAAAAATTGCTTCAAAGCTTATTGTGTAAAACGTGATTTTCCAAATATATGCTTTTGAACATTGAAATCTTGCTTATCCCACTCATGGAAAACAGCCATATTTTTGAGATCAGTGAGGATGACCACCCACGGTTGGTCACCCACGCCCGCGATCATTAATGAACTTTAGACTTCGCTAATGCTTCCCTTTCCCCGGGCGTAAATAGCCAGGCGGAATTAGTACCCTCGGCACGGGCTAACGCCCGGGGAAAATGCATGTAAGAAAGTTTGGAAAATCGTTTCACATAACAAATTATCATTATAACATTTATAAGGATTGATTTAGTATGAGAAATCCTAAAGTATAGGGCAAGTTTGTTTGAATTGTTTATGTGTGACGTTGTACTAATTTAGACTTTGTTCTTGTTGTCCAAGTCTTCCTATGAATTGTATGCGAAAGTTTCTTAGTTAAATTAACTTTTGTAGAAGTTCATGATAAAAAGGAAAGCGAATTGTTTTCATTAGCGTCCTGTACGAATTAAATTTATTTCATTTCAAAGTGCGAGACTGCGAGTAATAAGTTGAAGAGTTTTAATTAATATCGGCAAAAAGCAGTTAATTTCAATTCACATTTAAAAACGTTTTACGTAGTCGTACAGTTTCGTTTTGAATTTTACATTAAAATAAAGCCCATAGAAACCAAAATAATATACCTACTTTATATATTTTAGAAATTGATATTTCTGTATTTAAAAATATTTAAGATTTTTTTTTTCAGGTTTGTAAAAAAAATTAAAAAAAAAACAAATATCGTGTTCCATGACTAACATGGCGTCAGCAACGCGAGCCTGCGTTCAGTGTTGGCGTAATTACGAATACTTCATGTTGAAACAATTTTGGAAAATATAGGCTGAAAATATAGGCTGAAAATATATAGGCTGAAAATATAAAATATAGGTATTGAGGGGTTGTTGCATGCATGTACTTCTAGTAATGATAATAATTTTGAATTTGCATAGCGGGACTAAATTATCGGGCTGGCTACGCCACTGATGACGAGTCATAACTCGTATAAGGATGAAAAAGAAAACGTATTGAGTATTGACAACTGTAGATCAATATACTCACCAGCTTGCATAATTTCATTTGGGTTTTGATATGGTCAATCAAAATTTTATTGACGTCACGGTCTCTCTGCTTCTGAAACATGTCATAATCTTTGCCTGCCGTTTCAGTGAAAGATCTGCAAGAAAATCAAGTGATTATGATTCAGTGCTGCGTTCTTGATGTAATCTTTACAACACAAGAATATAATTTATGGGTCGTAGGCATGCTCGCTACGGTGAAAAGTATGCAATGGGGAATATGTAAATTTTATTTGCTGCTGTAAAAAGAATCTGAAAAAAAGAATTTAACCGTAGTCCGTACTCGTTGTTCGTTGCCAGCATCATAAACTCCCTATTTTTTTATAGCTACTATCTTAACGTAGACGAGTAAGTTTTTCTTGACAAGTTTTACTTGTCCGTGTGCATGGCAAAAATTGACTATTTTTCCTCGATAAAGAAGCCTTTTTAAAAAGCTGGTCATGATGCCTGCTTTTAAACAAGGAAAAAGGTGCGTGTGTAGGGCCATGAAGGAAAACTTGACAAGTAATTGGGCAGTTCATCATCGCGCACTGATCTTTGAGCGGCCATTGCCACTAAAGCAATCGGGCGGAAAAAGTATGCGCATGCGCCGGAACTAAAACGGGTCAAACAACACCGCAGAAAAACGTCTGTGCATGCGTCACCCTTACTGAAATTTGCCTTGCGAACGTGGTGCATGTCAAGTGTTCCGAAAGTTGTCAAAACCTCAAAATGGGAGCGACTTCGATGTTTTGCCTTTTCCGTAAAAATGCAAGCGGAATAATAGAAATAATTACAGTCTACATGTGCAAGAAATAGTATTATGCTAGAAAATGAACGAAAGGTGACTGTCCATAAATTTATTGAATAAAACGTTCTTTAACTGAACCATACAAAGATTTTTTTCGTAGGTTCATATGACCAATGTTTTTCTCCATAACTTTTTTTGCGTAGCATGTATAGTTTTTGCGTTGAGGATATTTAAGGGTAATAATTTACTCTACAATTTAATCGTGTGCAAATGCTTAACTATATATTTTATAGTTTTCTTAACTTTTCTGTCTTTTCTGTCGACAATTTTTCAAGAAATGTTCACACGCCCTCCCAGTCTAAAAATATAAATTTTAATTTAAATTCTGCTTCTTTTTACATTTTAAATGTTCGAAAACTTATTGTTAATATCCAAACTCCCACTCTAGCGCATTTCTTGTTTGTTTCAATTATCTTAAATAATTAAATAGCCATGTTTTTGTTTACAATTTGGCATTTAAATTCCTCGCCATTTTTCCTAGTACACGCGCATGCGCAGACGTTTTTCCGCGATGTTGGGTCCAACAATGCCAATTTTAGCATTCAAAACAAAAAAATAAACATACTTAATTAAAGACAAGTTCTCTGATAGTGTAAACCAGCCTCTGGTTTCGTGATCAAAGGAAAGGGTATGTTGGACACTGCAGCGGGTTGGGAGTCTCTCCTCCCCCCCCCCCTGAAATTCCGCCTGTGTTGGTACAAACCTGAGTTCTTCCTGTGCTTCTTTTACAGCGTTTTCTGATTCTTCAATCTGAGATTCTAAGGTCTGAAGTTTCGCTTCTCTTGCTTCAGGTGTGTCTCCACCAAATATCTTCGATGATAATCCTTTCCATAATCCTCCGCTTTTCTTGCCCTCCTCGCCTTCTTCGCCCTAATTAATAAAATACTTGAATGACTACTTACGATTAAGTCCAAATATATTTCTTCACATCCTTTCATTCGACTTCGAATTAAAGAATAATATTATGTTTTCAGAAAGAACCTCTAGAAAGAACATCTAGCAATCTGGTAAAAAGTTAACTTCTGATTTTTCTACAAGGCCTGGAGGTAACTTGAGAGTTGACACCCATTTTGTTTTTATATAAGTACTCATTTGTATTTTAATATTTCAATATATAATAATAATAAAAAAAAAATATTCAATTATTTGTAAGCAAGTTCATAATGTAAAACGAAAGTTAACATTTCACGATGATAACAACTAACTACTGTATATATAGTACTATTATTGCCCGCTAACAATTGGTAGGGATAGATTCGGTGACAAGGTTATGATGGGTACCTCCTCCATCCCATCCGCGACAAGTCACCTGTTTACACAGGGAATATACTGTCATTCTAACTACATGCTCACGCATGTGGCTTCCAACCAAAGGATGGGTGGGAGGGAGACGTTGAAAGCAACTGATCGAGAGCATGCTTCAAGAATCCCTGGCTATTTATACGTTCGGCTAACGTGCATTAATTTCTAGCTCGAATTATCAATTAGTGTGAGCAGCGACGCGAATCAGCACACAATATTAACTTGTTTTTATTACATAAAATCCATTTAACGAGAAATCTGAGAACAAAATCAAATACACTTCACAAGATATTTTTGGAATTTTATGCAATACATAATAAACAAGAAAGCGTTTCTTGGCGTAGAAAATTATATTTCGAGTTTGTTATACTACTTCTCAAATTCATTTGTATTTACAGAGAATTTCAAGGCGATAGTTGAGTTAATTTATAGCTTTATCACCGTGGTATCAAGACAACGATAGAGTGCTGGTTTCCTTTCTTTTGCTCATTCATTATAAAGGAGTTTGAGAATTTGCACAAAATAGAATTCAATGATTTTACCGCTTTAACAAGTTCCTCCTTTTGAGTATTTTTTCCAGCAACAACTTCTTCTGCTTTCTCTACATTATAGTGACGTAACTGTTGCTTTCTTGTCATAACTCTGCAAACGCAAATAGAAGCAAAAGTCAAATGAAAACGGAGAACACTTGAAATCAGGCGAAAGTAGTACATGATTTTCTAGCGATTCGAACGACCTATGTGAACGTAACTATAGAGTAATAAACTCCACGGCATTGCCAGATTATCAACCGTGCAGCAAGTGGTCCAGTTTTCCGACAGTACCAGTATTCGGACGAAATATTTTGAATAAAAAAATGAGCAAAAAAATGTAAAACAATAGGTTCAGACGATTGCCCGATATGTCACGAATCTTGCTCTGTATTTTTGACGATTTTGCTGTATAGTTTTGTGCACACGTGAACACTAAAGGTCGGCCGAAAATATTTTCTTTAAAATGGCGATTACGGCAGTTTGACCAGGCAGTACGTTTGGGGAGATTGATTGTGCGAAAATATGCAGCAGAATTTTTAGCTGAAGGAAGGCTATAGACCGAAAATTTAATCACGAAAATAACTGTTGCTATTGTCATAAAATTTATTATTGGAACAGTTTTTGAAGCGCTCACGAGTATTCGGACCATGGCTTAGAATTGACAATATCAATAGATAAGGCTAAGTTTGTGTTAAAATAAATAATATAAAAGAGAAATCCCAACAGGCAACATGATATGCTGCTGTAACCGTTTAAATCGAGGTCGGGAATCTTCGAGTTAAGCCCTTTTCGAGGTAAGCCCTGACCACGCCCTGTTTTCCCATGACCACGCCCTTTTTCGGAAAGGGCTTAACTGGAAGAACGAAACACGATTTGGGTTATTCGAGTTAAGCACCGGGGCTTAACTCGAAGTTTGACAAAAAGTTAAGCCCCGACTTTTGAAGTATGTCAACGAGTGCAATGTTAAATTGTCAAATTTTCACTACAAAAAAGCCAAAACATACCCTGGAACCAGAGGGTATTTATTTTCGCCTGTTTTGAATAACCCTCTGGTACCCTGGAACCAGATGGTATTTACTTCTCGCATTTCGCGTTCGGCAAACCTAAAAAAACCTCTGGGCCAGGGTAGCCAAAACACAGAAATTGTCCCGAAAAGAACTTATAAATCGCTAATGTAATACGATTATCAAAAACAATCACAACTATTATCGTTAACAATATTTTAGGTTTTTCATATTAAATTAATATTAAATTTAACAACAGGTAATTACTTTTAGTGGATCGTTTATCCACAACAAAACAATATTTTAATTTTTAAGTAGATAGAATCCTAACTCGTTCCTTTTGTTTCAATGTGCACAATATCGACAAATTAACAGTTTTACCGTAAGGCCAATGAAAATTGATATCATGTTTCTCGTCCCCGCCCGCATGGGATTTATCTGCCGCACGAAAATTTTTCATTATTCATTATTTTTGAAAAATAGGCTTAAAAACACCAAATTCATCTCCAGATCAAAGTCTTATTGCTGCATTCCGCAAGCGCAACTCAAATTGTATCTTTCTAAAGATATAACTCGCCAGAATGCCTCTATTTTTCATGTCAGCCCTGGTATGTGTAGAAATATACTGTAGTCTGTAGACTGTAGTGTAGGACGTATTAAATTAAAATGAATTATACACCAATTTTTAATACTTCAGATTTTTATGGGGTTTTTTACTGGGTCAAGGAAATTATTGACAAGCAGAATTCAAATACAAAAAATAATGAAAAATGAAAAAATCCCGCTCCAAATTTTTGAAAATTGTGCACGAGAAACATGATATCAATTTTCATTGGCCTTAAACAGAAAAGGTGCAACCTTCTCTCATCACCTTGAACAAAACTAATCTATTAAGAAAATGATCGAAAATGACAGCACGTAATAACTAAAGAAAAAAGGAGGAAAGGGAAGGAACTTCGGTATAGAATGATCTGTCTTTGACAACTTGCGCCCAGAGTATGGCCCAGAGACTCGCGCCTCATACGCACAAGTACAGTAATTTGATTATTTTGATTAGCCAAATGGTTACGAATCACGAATGGTTTCATTTGGGTAAAGAAATTATCACGGGGAGAAATTGTTACATTTGAGTAAAATACCCATTACCGAAATGTAACGATTTATCCCCATAATAATGGTGCTACGTCACTATTTCGTTTATAATTGAAATTACTAATCGCTCTGCAAATATTCCCGTTTTAATACAAGTCAACGTAGCGCCATTATTACGGGGAGAAATTGTTACATTTGCGTATTTTACTCAAATGTAACAATTTCTCCCCGTGATAATTTGTTTACCCAAATGAAACCATTCGTTATGTGCGTATGTGGCGCGAGTCTCTGGTGTATTTCTATTAACTGTGGCGCAAGTTGTCAAAGACAGATCATTCTATACCGAAATTCCTTCCCTCTCCTCCCTTTCTCTTTAGTTATTACGTGCTGTCATTTTCGATCATTTTCTTAATAGATTAGTTTTGTTCAAGGTGATGGGAGAAGGTTGCACCTTTTCTGTTACAGTAAAACTGTTAATTTGTCAATATTGTGCACATTGAAACAAAAGGAACGAGTTAGGATTCTATCTACTTTATAATTAAAATATTGTTTTGTTGTTTTGTTGTTTCATGTTGTGGATAAACGATCCAATAAAAGTAATTACCTGTTGTTAAATTTAATATTAATTTAATATGAAAAAGCTAAAATATTGTTAACGATATAATAATTGTGATTGTTTTTGATAATCGTATTACATTAGCGATCTATAAGTTGTTTTTGGGAAAATTTCTGTGCTTTGGTTTTTTTTGTATTGAAAATTTGACAATTTAATATTGCACTCGTTGACATACTTCAAAAGTCGGGGCTTAACTCGAGCAACAACTTTTTTGTCAAACTTCGAGTTGAGCACCGGGGCTTAACTCGAATAACCCAAATCGTGTTTCGTTCTTCGAGTTAAGCCCTTCCCGAAAAAGGGCGTGGTCATGGCAAAACAGGGCGTGGTCGGGGCTTAACTCGAAGGGCTTAACTCGAAGATTCCCGACCTCGTTTAAATCGGCTCTGTTCATTTTAAGCTCGTTTACACTATATATTTTTGTCATGAAATTGAATTGTTGTATGAATGTTGTCGATTCTTCTTTCTTTTGTATATAAGAAAACACTTAATGTCTGTTCCCTCCGGGGGATAGTTTTGTTTCCCCTCGAATCTCAATTGAGACATTTGGGAAAACAAAACTAACTATTGAGACATTTGGGAAAACAAAACTAACTATTTCCTTCGGGAGCAGACATTATGACTTCCTAACTCATTTTGAATTTTCCTCATTAGCTTTGCGAATTTGAAAAACTCTTTGCAAATCCTTTGAGGGAATTTGCAATGTTCCTATCGACTGTTGCAATATTCCAACAAAAAAAACCTTAATTTAAAATTTTCCTAACTTCCTGTTTTAATTTCCTGACTTCCTGTTGCGTTCTGAGCGTTCTCATTGGTGGGTTATTTTTGTAACAGGAAGTTACGAACTTCTAACAGGAATGAGGAAAATTTAATCGACTTTTAGCAACATTGCAAATTCCCTCAAGGGATTTGCAAAGGGAGTTTTTTTTAAATTGCAAAGGTAATGAGGAAAATTGCAATCAATTTAGAAACTCAAAAGAGGAACGCTTGACGTAGTTTACCTATAAGTGTATAATATACATCACAATACAGCTTATCGTCGAGAGAAAAGCGATCATTATTAGGTGTCCGAATACGCGACCAGGATGTCCGAAATGTGGATATGAGCATGAACTACTTCCATTGAGTAAAAATAAAAAAACTTTAGCGGTCTATCTTATAAGGTAATGCAGCAATGGGAAGCGGTCGTCATCTGCAAAAAATTGCACCTTGCGGAAATCCAAAATCGGAAAATACAGTGTGAAAACACTTTACTGTATGAAAACAGGGCAACAAACTGTAATGCTTAGTCCGTATCATTGAAGCACAGAAAAGTTTGGGAGGGCAAATTATAAGTTTGGGGCCCTGGTGATTTCCCACAATCAAATATTCTTGAGGTCCTGCGCTCTTCAGAAATCTATTTGCATATCCTTTAGGACAATTAGAGAAATTTCAATATTAGAGATTTCAATGTTTATTCAATACCCAACTCGTTTATAGGTTCGGATAAATTTGAAATCTAGAGTCCTTGCATGGGGAACCATCGATATTTCACTCAGTGCCGCAGAGGGGGTAGTTTGCACTGGGCCCCTAGCTCAAACAGGGCCTCCAAAGCGACGAAGTCCCTTTCCTCAAACAAGATTGCTTCACCGAGAAAATAACTAACTCCTAGCTGTGCCAGTACCGGATAATATGCAATAAAGCACAATATATTGTAAAACACCACTTCTCCTGTTTAACAATTATGACGTCATTGGGAAACTTTTCCCCCTTGCCACACCCAACGTCTCCGCGGACCTGATTTCAGTATTTCTATTTGGGGTCCTCCTTCAAAAATTACCTGATGGAGTCAGCATACAAATGATATTCCTTAAGTTTGTCAACATAGTGGCTTTCCTCCTCCTCTTGAATGTCATCAATTGAAGACGCTAAGCTAAAGATAAACATACTATAACTAAACCCAATGCCTTGCGTGTGTGGTCTGCCCTGGGTTTAATTTCTACAATATATTGTACCGGGTGTCCCCCAAAAAACTTGCGCTGTTTGATTTGATGTAACGTAAAAACTATAAAAGCTATTGCACTCAAATAAGCTATATTGTATTCAGAAAAGGCTAACTTAGATTTTGATATATAACATTTGAATATCCGTGCAATATTTACTGAGCTATAGATGTTTTAAATCGAATAAGCATATTTGACAATGTTAAAAATTTGCATAAAATTGCTCATCAAATATTATTTGGTTAAATAGTTTTATTGTGGCCAAAAGAACGAGTGAAAAACATAATTGTTGGATAAACATTAATTCATTCATCATAGAAAGTATTTCCTTTTTCACGTATACAATGTCTTGCACGGGAAACCATAAAACCCAAACTCTTTGATCTTTTGTTAATCGAGGCATATTCGAAAGGCGAATGACAACCAACTTTATAATACGAACTCTCAAAGAACGTCAAATATGCTTCCGAGCGTTTTTAAATGTTTCATGTTTATTTCGCTTCCCAAGAAACAAAAAGGTTAGCTCATTACCCGAAATGAAAGTTGAGTTGAAATGCTGAAATTGAAATTGTTAATTTTTGTAGAAAATGGCAATTTGTTTTCATATAAATTTGATCAGCCATGTTTCTCGATTTTTTGTTGCATGCCATATATGGCATGCAACTTTCATATAGCTCTAAATTTCGTGTCGTGTTCGGTGAGCGGTGAGCGTACCAGTCACGTGGCAGATTCGCAAAATACGACAAATACCGAGGTTCCGACGAGCATTTTCATGCCGGGTTTTCGTCGAGGAAACGCAAAGAAAATCTATATATTGATTATTCGCCGAAAATTTACATAATCGAGCGCCTTAGAAAAATAAATCGAGGTAGGTAAAGCTTTACTGTTTTAACTTACCTTATATTTTGTTATTTGTTGTGATTTTGGAGCCGTTGTGCTCGCACTGATTATTTATCAACTACCACGCGTTTATATTTATATATCGTGAAAGCCTCAAAGCCGCGAACGCTATCAAAATACTCGATTTTTATATACTCAAACTGAAACGGAGCCATTGTGCTCGCACTGATTGTATTGTGTGCAAAGCTTCAAAACTACAGCATATTTTGTAAACAACATGAAATATAAATATCAAACTCAATTTAAATGATAAATAGTAATACAATTGAAATCGAGATTGAAATATACAACGAAATAGCAACCATTGTGAAGTACGCATAAGATTCAACATAACATTCAATATAGTGTAAATTAACTCATTTCAATCACTCAAACGTCAAAATGATAAATAATCATTTTCAATCTATTGTAGTAATTCACCGTTTCCACGGGTTTTTTATACCCATTAAAAAGTTACAATAAAGCTAAGTCTATAGGAAATAACGTTATTTAGTTATTAATTTGTAAATAGTATTCGCTTTTGATAAAACCTTGACCCGCCTTGACATTGTTAAAGGGGTCCTACAGTCATTTTTTAGTCAAGTAAGTATTGTTTACATTTTTGTTATTGTCGCTACTTGACATGCGCATCACGGCATGCATGCATCTTCCGGTGTGCGGAAGTACCATCAGTGGGAAGTACTCATATTCATGGATACTGCATGTAAGATACAGCCAAACGAATCTCCGTGGAGTCGACTAAAAAATGGCTGTAGGGTCCCTAAGGGAGTCCCTTTAATGTTATTATTACCGTCGCTTGCAACTAACTATTAACGGTCGCTTAAAAAAACATTGTCTATATTCGCGTGTTTCTGCTGGGGTCTACACCGTAGGCAAATTCGCGTGAGAGTCTTAAGTTTTTTTATTTTGACATAATAGCTATTTTGCAATAAATATATTGATATTAAATTTATTGAATCGATATTTTAAGTTTCACGCCAGTTGTACCAAAGGTTATAAGCGCTATAGCGCATCATAAGCATAGATATCTTATATAAGATATCTATGATCAATGATCATAAGTTTCAGATGGCATGCAACATGTACAGTACGCAGTGTGTACCTATTTTTACTGATCTGTGGGAAGTTCTGACCGATTTACAAAAGTCAGGGGCGCCCCATTAGTCGGAATATCATTAATATTCGACGCGTGGTAAAGTCTTTCCGAGCGCGCGCTCATTCGAAGTGTCATGTTGTCCTTGTAGTATTCACGAAACGGTTCAATCCGCATTTGCGGTGAATGATTTAGCTGTCTTACAAGACTGTTGCGCTGAACTTGGGAGGAAAATCAACGCTAAATATCGGAGAGTTCTATTCAGTGAGCAGTTGCTAAGCGGCGTAAGCGCCACGAATAGCACGGACTACAGTTTGACGGTTTGAGTAGAAGTATTGGCGCCGAGATATTTATTCTGAAGTGCATTAAGCCATTAAGGTAAATTTAATGTGATATGTAAATTTTATTTCGTTTTAGACAGCATAACAATATTTATAAGCGAACAAGATGCGCGCCATGCTTATGTAAAATTGTAGCTTGAATACGCGTATCTTTTGATTTAGATTTAGCTACGAATTTTGATTTACACAACAAATTTGCATATTTGTAATTCTGCGGTTGAAGGACCGTCAGAACTCAGAAGGCTATTAATATGGAGGATAACCTATATAAATGCATTAATGCAGTATACATAGGATATAAAGGTCAGGTTTTATAGATTAATATTGATATATGTTTATTGGAGTAATATGACACTGTAGTGATTACTAGTCAAGTGATCAATGACTCAACAACTACAACAAGGCTATTAGGCAACACAAATGAGTGTAGTACTATCATGAGATAGTTAAAAATAATACTAGCAATCCGTAATTTGATAAAATGAATCTTCCACAATGATCACATTTCTGCAAGTACTTCCCCTTTACTTTTCCCTGAGGAGTGAGTTGTGGGAGTCAGTCAGGCTGATAGTTGCTATAATTATCTCCCATTTCATGAAGTTAATTTTTTGTTGAAGCTGCTTTCAGAGTTATGCAAATTGCGTTTCTGAAGTTTAAAAATATAAAAATTCCTGGGGGACACATCCCCCCCCCCCCCCCCCCCCGCGCCCCCC